ATGAGGTTCCATTAGCCAATGGATCAAAAACAGTGACAGTACCAGAGGTTGGAGTGATGTACTTTGATTATGAAAGAGGGCATCATACACCAAGAAGTATATTTAGTTATGGAAAGAGTCACGTAGTCATCATTCATGTGAATAGTATTTTCAAAATATATGTAATAGATGGTTGCAATTTGGATATCTTCACAAATTTCATCATTATTTTTAACAATCTTGAGTCAGGATCCAGGAGAATATTTCTTTTATCATCAACTACATTTGTAAATAAAATGATAAATTAATTTTGGTTCAAACACAGTCTCATTATTATAACAAAACCTTATTGTTGCTTCCTAAATATTTTTTTTCTATTTGTACACTGGTAGTTTACATCAGGTCCCAGAAATTGGTTTATTTTTGCTTTATATATCTTAATGGAGTCAATTGGAGTGTACTATATTTTTCTAGGAATTATCCATATCACCTAAATTTTCAGTTTATTTTATTGTACATTGTCAGAGTAAGATCTCTGTATTTTTCATTTTCTGAGTATCAATAATTAATTTCCCATTTTATGTCTTATTTTCTATATTGGTACCCTCAGCTAGTGTTTTGTTTATTTTTTTCAAAGAACTGGGATTTCGATTTGAAATATAATGTACTCTTTCTCTGTTCTTTACACATAAATTTAAACTTTAAATATGTTACACTTTCCTTCCTTGCACTTTCATTCTTTTCGTATACTTTGTTACTTTTCTAGACTGAGTTCAGCATTAAACTCAGTCTTGTTTCAGTCAATATAACCATGTCTATATATCTGCAAAAGTTGATGTTTATATTTCTGTTTTATAGAATGTGACCTAAAATCTGATCAATATTTGTGAATGTTCCATGTGCCTTAATAATATGTTTTGTATCATAAAGATGTATTGTCTTCAGTATATAGGTAATATATTTGTTGGTTATGTTGTGATATTAATTTTCAATGCTGAATCACAAATTACCACAAAATATCAGCATGGAGCAACCCACCATTATTAATCTCAGTTTCTGTGAGTCAGGAGGCTGAGCATTGCTTATCTGGCTTTTCTGCTTCGGGTCTCATAAGACATCAGTCAAAATGTCAGTCAAATTGCCTTCTCATCTAGAGTCACCACTGGGAAGGAACTAGTTTCAGAAGCTGATTTGTTTTGTTGGCAGAATTAACTTCCTTGTGCTTGTGGTTGTAGGACTCAAAAATCTATTTTTGTGTGTGTGTCCCCATCCCAGAGCTTGAACTCAGGGCCTGAGCACTGTCCCTGAGATTTTTGCTCAAGGATAGCACTCTACTTTGAGCCCCACAACTCCATTTCTGGCTTTGGGGGGATTAATTGGAGATGAAAGTCTCATGGACTTTCTTGTGTGGGCTGACTTTGAACTGTAATCATCAGATCTCAGACTCCTGAGTAGGAAGTGTGAGCCACTGGGTTCCAGTTCGGTTCGAACTGAGGGAAAAATTTTGTTAGTTTGTCAAGCCTATGTGGTTTTGTAATAGTTCTTACCTAGCATGCGATCAAGGACTTGGGTGTGATTGTCAACACCACAAAAAAATGTAATGTGTCATGAAGGAGAGGAACCATCCACTTTGGATAATTGATGAACCCCATTATTGAGGATTTAAAAATTAGAATAAATACTTCTTCAAAAGAAAGGTGGAAAAATAGCCAAGGGTGTGGCTCAGTACTTGAGGTTTTATTCAGCATGCGGAAGGCCATGGGTTTGATATCCAGCATTGCAAAAAGAATGACCATTTTCAAAGGGATGGTGATGTATCTTAGTGATAGAGTGCTTGTCTAGCATGAGGAAATCCTAGATTAATCTCTAAAACTGAAGTTACAATACAAATAGGCATCATCTAGACCAGGAGAAATGCTCCATTACTCTTTTCTTAAACTGTGTTGGGTAGGAGCAAAAACAAATATGGACAAGAGAGAGGAGGGCAAAGTATAAAGTAACTTTGTTCTAAGAAGATGACAAAAAACTATTTTTTATTTCTATACTTTGTATAAGAAAAATTTAAATTTTAGCTTAAAGCTAGTTTAAAAATGTAAGTTTAGTTTCTTTTTTAATATATATTTTTATTGTAAAGATACTGTACAGAGGGGTTATAGTTACATGAGTGAGGTAATGAGTCAATTTCCTATCTAGCATTGTTACCCTCTCCTTTGTTTTTCCCCTACAATCCCTTCCATCCCCACCTCCCCAATTCCTCCCTTTCCAACCCCCCAAGTTATAAAGTTCATTTTCAACATAGTGCCTTGTACATCTCATTGTTATAATGAGTCAGCCTTTATCCTTATTTCAGCATTTTGTTATTTCCCTTCCCCTCCCCAACTTAGAAAAATGTACGTACAAGATGCAGTGCACGGGAATCACATACACAGAAAACAGAGGTTGTACCATTGGGGAAGAACATACAAAAGAAACAAAAAAATCAAATAGTACATTAAAAACAACAGCAAGAAAGATAAAACCTCTTGTGTCCCTATCTTAGGGTTCATTTCATTTAGCATCATCTTATATGTTCATATGTACATAGCTTTTGACCTTTTCTGCTTGTCCTAGACATTTACTAGTTATTGCAGATATGGGAAACCATGGGACCTATGTTTCTTTGGGCCAGGCTTACTTCACTTAATATAGTTTTTTCCAAGTTTTTCCATTTCCTAACAAATGGGGCCATGTCATTCTTTCTGATGAAGGCATAGAATTGAATTGTGTGTATTAATACCACACTTTCTTTTTTGTTTGAGTGTGCAACTGTCTTTATCTTTTTTCTTTTCTTTAAATTGTTGCCTCCTTGGACTGGGAAGGTGGCTCAGTGGTAGAGCGCTTGCCTTGCATGCCTGAGGCCCTGGGTTCGATTCCTCAGCACCACATAAGCAAAAAGAAAAAAGTCAGAAGTGGCGCTGTGGCTCAAGTGGTAGAGCGCTAGCCTTGAGCTGAAGAGCTGAGGGACAGTGCCCAGGACCAGAGTTCAGGCCCCAGGACCAGACCCCCCCCAAAAAAAAATTAAAAAAAAATAAATTGTTGCCTCCTCCTTTGTTTTCCCATAACATCCCTTCCCCTCTCTACCCTCCCCAGCCCCATACCCCCTTCCATCCCTCACCCCCACACGCCAAAGTTGTAAAGTTCGTTTTTTGACATAACATCTTGTACATCTCATTGGTATAATGAGTCCACCTGTAACCCTATTTAAACAGTTTTTTTTCCTTCCCCTCCACAAATTATATTAATATCAAACACAGTGAATGCAGGGCTTATACCCTGGAGGAGGTACATACAAAGCAACAAAGAAATCATCTTATACATATGTTGGAAACAATCACAAGAAAGAAAAGAAACATTTGAATCCTTATTTTGGGGTTCATTTTGCCTAACATCAACTTGTCTGACAGTTTCTGTTTGTCTCAGACATATACTAGTCATTGCAAATAAGGGAAACCTCACTTTCTTGATCCATTCATCTACAGAGGGACATCTATGTTGGTTCCATATCTTAGTTATGGTGAATAATGCTGCAATAAACATAGTTGTGCTGGTAGCCTTAGCATGGCCTTATTTGTGATCATCTGGGTAAATGCCCAAATGCGGGATTGCTGGGTCATACGAGAGCTCTATGTGTAGTCTTTCGAGGAATCTTCATATTGCTTTCCAGAGTGGCTGAACAAGTTTACACTCCCACCAACAATGCAGTAGGGTTCCCTTCTGTCCACATCCCCTCCAGCATCTGTTATTAGATTTCTTGATTGTAGCCATTCTAACCTGGGTGAGGTAGAATCTCAATGTTGTTTTGATTTGCAAGAATGTAGTTTCTTAAAGAGAATTTTTTAATGATAGGTATCAGAAAAAAATATTGGAAAACTCTATAAGCAGACTGTACAAATTCCCCATGAAAAAAGTTTTAAATTCTTGATTGACGATTGGATCAGAAATTGTGGAGCTCACTTACTAGGCAATGATAATGTGAAGAAGTTGATATTGTGGTGTGTGGTGTGTGTGTGTGTGTGTTTGTGTGTGTGTGTGTATGTGTGTGTGTGTGTGTGTGTGTGTGTGTGTGCTGGTTCTGGGTCTTGGATTGAGGGCCTTGGCTTTATCTCTGAGTTTTTTCAGTCCAGGCTGACACACAACCACTTGAGTCACAGTTTTATTTCTGGCTTTTTTATTTTGGTGGGGATTGTTAATTGGAGATAACTGGACTTTCTTGCCCAGGCTTGCTTTGAACCACAATGCTAAAATGTTAGTTTCCTGAATAGGTAGGATTACAGAGTGTGATTTACCAGCACTGTGCTAATATTTTGAACTTTTTTTGTTGGTCGTGGGGCTTGAACTCTGGGCCTGGGTGCTGTCCCTCAGCTCTTCAGCTCAAGGTCAGCGGTCTACCACGTGAGCCATAGTGCCACTTCCAATATTTTCAAAATTTAAAGAAAAAGAAGATAAGTCATTAAAGAAAAAATAAGCTTGTCTGACATTGGCAGAACACAACTGAGCAATATGTGAATGTCTTCATCATTTATGCCAGGCACTGGACACGTTCTAAACTATGGATCAAATAATCACAAAGTTTCGCTCAGATACTTTTACTGAGAGTGTTGGTGTTCAGTAATACAGTTTTAAAATGAATGAAATTGCTCATGCTTTTTTTTTGTGAGTATAAAGTGTGTTAAGGCCATTGAACTTGTCTATTGGGTTCTAATCTATACAAATTGCATATGTCCCAAACAAAAGTCACGAAAAGTTTTTTACTCAAGGAAACAACTGTCAACTGGAGCGAGGATAATATTCTGCAAGTTGCAAGTTTTTTTTTTTTTTCATATTTTTGTTTTAATCACGGACAAGGAGAGCAGCCACAAGAACAAAGAATCTCTTGCAGAAGACAAAAACAGCTGCAAAAGCAGCCAGAAGTGGGGGGGGGGGGGGGTGAGGCCGCGGGGGGGAAGGCGGAGTCAACAGGCCTGAAGCAAAATGGGGCGGGGCTTTAGTAAAGGGAACTATTTTGTCCCTCTTCGCTCTCCGTCTGGAAACTTAGGACGTGAGGGTCTTAGACATGGCGGCCTTTAGGGTAAGTGAAAACAAACTTTTGTGTGAGTGTGTGTGTAAGTGTCAGTGCCGATAATATTCCAGTAACTAAAAAAAAAAGATACTCTTAGATTCTGAAGGGAGCCCCTCAGTAAGTAGTGTGGCGTTGTGATTGAGGCAGAATTGTTATCGGCAATATCTGAAGCCTCTCCACTAGAGTTTTCTCAGCCGGGGGCACTGCTCTCTCAGCCTCCTGCTATGGATTGTTTAAACAGGAGCGACATACAAACCAAAACTGTCGCGTGGCAATGGCCAGCCACACCCGGAACTGCTTCCAGGGTGAAAAAAGAATGCTTGGCATTTTTTTCTCCTTGAGCAGGGAGCGGCCTCATGACCCTTGTTAAAGGAGTTTTTTCAAACTTTATTTGTGGGCGAAACTGACCTGCAGAGAAATGACTCGGTGTCTGCCTAGATTGCGTGTTCATTTGTACTGTGGTTAGTCCACTAACCTGTTTCTTTTGAGTTTTATCAGAAAAGGTGCGTTTATTTGGAAATGAATCAGGGTGCAGGAAGTAAGTCAGCGAACTGTTTCAGTAACAGTGGTTTACAAATGCTTAATGTAGCGCGTTTTAAATGTACCATGTTTTGCTAGGCTTAAAGGAGATATAAATATGAATAAGTTCAGCCAAGTTGATTTTAAGTCAGGTCAGTAGCAGTCTTAATTCATCATTCTCACCTAACTTCTGCAGTTCTTGGAGCTCATACGTTATCTAAAGCATCGAACGTCCTCCAAACTGTCTTCCACTTCCTGCTTGCCTCTTGTATAAACAACTCCCGCCCCCCCCCCCCCCCCCCCACATACCCCTGCCCATGTACTTCCACTAAAAGACGAATCCTCCATTTAAGTGGTGGTGAATCCCCTACTTAAAAGTGTTTATCAGTACTTCATTATCCATATTCTAGGGTCCCAGTATACTCTTGTATCTAAGAAAACCTCACCATACTTGGCTTTCCAGCTTTATGTCCTGTCACACAGAATTTCTTCCCTCAATACTGAACTACTTGCTTCCCCTCTCCTTGCCTTTTTAATGCTCTTTCTGCAGGTCTTTAAGTGCCTTCATCCATCCTCATCTACTTATAGCTCCTTCATCTAACATGTGTATATACACTGTCCCCATTTGTTAAGCATAAAATACTTTTTCTGGGGGAAGCTTTCCCAATCAAACCATCTAATTTTAATAACTCCTATTACCTCAGAGCACATATACCATAATATTTCCTACACAGCAAATAATGCATTATTTACTTGTCCTTTCAACCATCCTTAATTCTAACCTTAACAACAGTAATTATGTTTTTGTGTTTTAACATAATGTTTGTATATTTAATTCCTTTCACAATAATAATACTAGTTACGCTAGTATTAAATATTCAGTAAGTTCCACATAATTAAATAAATGACAGGTAATGAGAATAAAAGACACTAAATTAAGCAGTGGAATTACAACATGTAACACAAACTACAATGATTCCAATTAAGAAAGTGCATTACCTTGGTGTACCTTACAGCCAAGGGTGTAAGGGACAAACTGCACACATTCAATTTGAAGAAAATAATGAAAGGTTTTGTGGAGGATATGCACAGACTGACAGAATGGTCAGTGGGTAAGAGCGAATCCTGTGTTATCAGTGAAGTCTAGACTAAGACTATTTTGTTTGGTTGTTTTCTTTCATTTTGGAGGAGTGTTGAGAATTGAACCTAGGACTTTGAATGCAAGGTGAGTGTTCTACCACTGGAATACATCCCCAGTCTATCAATTTTCTTTTCTGTTTTTTTTCTTATTTGTAGCTGTTTTGTATGTGTATTTGTGCTGGTTCCTGGCACTTGAACTGGTGCCCTGAGCCTTGTCTCTTAGATTGTTTACTCAAGGATACCACTTTACAGCTTAAGCTACACTTCCACTTCCAACTTCTTGGTGGTTAATTGGAGGTAAGAGTTTCACAGAATGTCCTGCTTGGGCTGACTTTGAACTATGATATTCAGATCTCAGATTCCTGAATAGCTAGGATGACAGGTGTGAGACACCAAGCATCTGCTATGACTATATCTTTTCATGGGTTCAATATAACTCTTTCATACATGCCTACATTGTACTACAATCATATTCACTTCCTTCCTGTCCCCTGACACTGTAGTCCCCTTGTTTACATTCTGTCATACTTTTATTTTAAAATCTAAATTCTGCATATAAGGGGAATTAAGAGAGATTTTTCTTTTTGAATCTGGCTTACTCAACTCAACATTATGGAATAGTACTATGCTAATACACTTTATATTGCTTTGTGTCGCCGATCCTGAGGAATAAACTCAAGGCCCAAATGCTGTACCTGAGGTTTATTTTTGCTCAAGGTTAGTGCTCTACCACTTGAACCACAGATCCACTTCTGATGTTTTGCTGAATAATTGGAGATAAGAGTCTCATGGACTTTCCTGCCCAGGCTAGCTTAGAAATGTGATCTTCAGATCTCACACCACTGTAATCCTATATGTGTGTGTATGTATATACATATATGTTCTTAGTGTATTCTAAACAACTTCATATTGCAGACATTATTGTTTCCCAAAGAAAAATTAGGGTTTAAAGTAATCAAATTGTCCCAAGTCATAATGCTTATAATATCTGAAATAAGATGAAGAGTTATAAGTAGTGTTGTCGATTGCAAGAAGTTAAGGAAGGATAAGATACAGAGAAGTGGCATGTATTTAGAACCTACTTTGGACCCTTGCTTTACATATATTTTCACTTTGCCTTCTTGATGGGTGATACACCCATTTCACAGATAAAAAAAACTGACTCAAAGAAAAAGTGCTTGTTCTTAGTGAAACAGCTACTGCTGGAATAGTTAGACTTGAATGCAGGTTTATTTACTTCTAAAATGCTACTCCTTGCTTCCTCTGGAACAGGGGTGTATAGGAAACGTTTAATGATGAAAGGAAGGGAAGAAATCTTAGGGTGGTAATTGCACATTTCAAAAAAGATATGTTAAAAAACAGTTAAGCAAGCTTGGAGACAAGGGAAAATGTATGCCAAGAGCTAGTATAGAGGGAAAGATAATTAGTAATAGTAACGAGAGTGAACTTGTTCTTGATCAATTACTAGGATGTAGATATATCACTAAGCATTTTATGTCAGTTTTCTCACTTATGTTGCGTAGTGGATCTGTGACTAGTTATTATTGCTACTCTCACATTTTTATAGGTGAAGAAACCAAATCCTAGAAAGGCTGTGTGACTTACTCAGACCCACATAGTGCTAAGTGGTAGAGCTAGATCTGAAATCATGTGGTCTGAATGCAGCACCTGGACAATTTTTCATAAAGAGATGGTAAAATCAAGAATATTTGTTTTGACAAAAAGAAGACACATTTGTAGGGTGTCAGTGGCTCATGCCTGTAATCCTAAACACTCAGAAGGCTGAGATACAAAGATCACAGTTTGAAGCCAGCCTGGAAAATGCATTTTTAACTGCCAAAAATCTGGAAGTGGAGCTGTGGCTCAAATGGTACAGCACTAGATTTGAGCAAAAAAGCTTAGTGGTAGTACCCAGGCCCCAAGTTCAAGCCCTGGGGCTGGCACCAAAAAAAAACACACAGTTTATTCTGAAGTCCACAGCCAATGGATAGAAAGTAAAGAAGATACAGAGAAATTCTGAAAAATAGGGGAGGGAAACTGTGGAAACTAAAATTGGATGTCTGTGTCATTTTAGGGTTAAGGTCATGTGCTGAAAGAAAAGAGGAAAAATGTAGAATGTGCCTTTTGGGATATCAGAATGGAAAATACTTGGGAAGAGCATTGCACATGTTCAGTAAGGCATCAGTAGACATTGAATAAAATAATTGATAAGTGCGGACCCAGCTGTTGCTATCTCTGCTGCTTTGACTTTTTCTAGCACTGATCACAGAGAGATGTGGTGAAGGAGACAGTTGGGGATGCTGAGACACTGAGTGCCAGCAAGGTGGAACTATTAGATAACATAGGGAATTTATCCAAATAGTAATCCAGACTGGATAAGAAGAAAGAAGGTGGAAGTGATGACCTAGGAGACTGATGAACATAGAGTGACAAAGAAAAGCAAGTTTCAATTAAGTGTGAGAGATGAAATAGTATTCGATTTTTACTTTTGTGTGTATATGTGTGTGTGTGCATGTGGACATACCTATGCATGCATGTATCAGTCCAGAGGTTGAAACTCAGGGCCTGTGCACTGTCTCTGAGCATTTTTTACTCAAGGCTAGTGCTCTACCACTTGAGCCACAGCTCCAATTCTGGCCTTTGGTTGGGTAATTGGAGATCAGAGTTTCATGGACTTTCCTGCCTGGGCTGGCTTTGAACTAGGATCCTCAGATCTTAGCTTCCTTAATAGCTAGTGTTACAGGTGTGAAATATTCACTCTTGAGGAAATTTCCCAACATTAAGAATGTTGGAGGTAAAACAGTTTCTAATGAGTACCAGGGAAGGTACCTATATTACACATGGCTGAGGTGCAAGGACCACTTGGGGATTAAGAAGCTTAACAAATCATTTATGAAACTAAAATATTAAAAGAGTAATCAGTGTTTATTTTTTAGCCCTAAACTTGAATAACAAGGATTAAGAAAATGGAAATTCTTGAAGGTTGGTAGATAACTGTGAAAATGGATCATACGTTTTGAAAGATGAGAGCTTGTTGAACAGATGTGATGGTGAAACACGATGTAGAATTCATTTTGAAGAGCAAGAATGGCATTGATCTCTCCTAAATTGTTGAAGCAAAGGAAATTGGTATAAGACTAGCTTGCATTGAAAAACATTGGAAGCCAGGCAAAGCCAAAAAGTTACTAAGATGCTTATGTCCAGTAATACAGTAAAAAGCTATAAGTGGAGATGTGGCTTAAGTGGTAGAGTGCCAACCTTGAGCAAAGAAAGCAAGCAAGAGTGTGAGGCCCTGAGTTCAAGCCCCAGTAATGGCACAAAAAAATTAAAAATGAGATAAATAAAAGGAA